CTCTAATTCTTATATTCCTGTTTAAATCTGTTTGGTAGAGTTAACAATAAAGCTTAAAATCTCCTCACCTGATGGTGTGTTCATTGTCTCAGGATCTAAAAGAACTAAAAGAACCAGTTGCCTGGGCATCTGATCACTGCCTTGACAACTGGCAAAACAAAGGCATAGTTTCTACAGTACAGATCTGGCAAAAGAATTTCCAGGGAGGTACTGGACATTTTTCCTTAGCCCTCCCTCTCTCCTAATGATCCATCCTTGGTTTTATAGCCAAGACAGAGCAATACAATTATTAGCAAGGAAAAATAAAAAATATTATTCAGAATAAGAAATTTGAACAAAATTTCTGTATCTCAAGAAACAATTAGGCCGCACATTACCATGGTTAGAACAGTTTCAAGTGAACTCACTCTTACAAGGTAGGAGGGTGAATTGATATAGCTAATAGCTGTATTTCATACTTTGAGAATAATAGCTGTATTAAGAGAACTTAACTCTTACATTTGTCAGAACCTGAAGACCTTTTCAGAAAACCACATAGAAACCTTGATTTACTGGCTCTAGATGCAACAGATTTTGGATGGAGTCAACCAATTTCCTGCTAGATGGGAGTGAACCAAATAATGGCATAATTATGCCAACTATGCAAATGACATTGTCATGCAAATGGCGTACATTCCTGAGATGATTCATTCTCCAGTTCAGTGGATTTTCCTTGGTAATGGACATAGCTCGTGCCAACCGCTCCATTAAAGCAAGAGCCTCTCAGTTTGAAGCAAAGGTGGGAGACATATTTGCATAAGCATCTGGATGATCGTATATAATTGCCAAAGATAATTCTTTCAGATCCACTGCAACAATTAAACCTCAAGATTTTGCATCAGTATAATTACAAGAATATCATATATGCCACATATATAATATTTATTTAAAATATCATATAACGTTTTTAAAGTTATTTAAAAACTTTGTGGAGAGATGTAAACAGAAAGGGACACTTCTTAGTCTCTGATGGGTATGGGTAAAGTTTTTTTTTTTTTAATGACAAAATATGTCTTATGACTAAACAAAATATTGAATATTCTTCAAGTTTATTTTTATTATGTACATTTGATGGTCAACATGTAAATTGCAAAGCAAGAAATTGATTTTATACTTATTATTGAAAGCTAAACAAATTATTGCTCAGAGCTGGAAATATCTGGACAATCTTTCTATCCAAATATGACATGAGAAGATTTGATTTCTGCTATGCTTTTTCTCAAAATGTCTACAAACTAAAGAACATGGAAAATATATATTTTTTACAAGCAGTATATGACATTGTTTGTTATACAAGTGATAAGCATACCTCTCTAAAAAATTATCATGATTTGTGGAAAATATGATTAGTTTGTAATGGAATGTGAAGGAGATATATACTGTAAATGATGTGGTATATGTATAAATATATTTCCTCCAGAAAAAAGTTCAATAAATAAAGTAGTAATGGATTATAAGGGTGCAATTTATGTGGAGTATAAGTATGATTGAGGAAAAGAAGGGAGAGCTACATTGCCAGCTTTGCCCTTCACAGACAAAAGGGTGGATTCTACCATTTACATTGGATGGGCCTTTTAAGTCCTGTATGATGAAAATTGCCAGAAATTATTGGGAGAGTTTCCATCCACCCACCCACCCACCCATCCATGAGTAATGTAAATCCTAAAACAGGATTAGCAACTTTTTTAATATAAAAAAGGACACTATTTCTTCAGACTTAGCCAGAATGAAAACATAAAATCCTGGTCCTGTCAACACACATCACATAGTCTTGTCAATTTTGTGACATCTCCTCACCCACTGCAACTTTGAGTGAGGAAGAAATGGTACATGTGGGCCCTGACCCTCCAAATGTTGCCTGACTCTGCTTTACAGTGGTATCAAATGCCTAGAGGCCTTCTGTAACATTATGATCATATTGTCCAATCTGAGAAGTTTGGAATTTTGAAAGATACAACTTCCATTTTCTAGATCCAAATTCTTGCAGGACCCTTTTGGCACTGAGAGAAAGGCTGTTTTATACCTCAGCTTCCAAGTGGACTCTTGTGTGAAAAAAATTCCAAGAGTTCCAAAAGATCCTCCTCATGGCATGAATTTTATCAGCATCTTGCACAATTGGAAGATCTGAACTGTGGGAGAACCTCCTTACTGTGATACTTCTCAAGCCCTTGTGTAAAAGTCAGTGGAACATTTGGGATAATTCTTAATCGAATTTCTTCCCTTT